CTTCTTCTAATACTCTCTTCCTCTCTCTCTCTCTCTCTCTCTCTCTCTCTTAGAAGAGGTATATGATGAGCAAAGGGAGAGAGCGAGTTTAAAAATAACGGCATGACAAATGAGGGGGAAGACTTCTATTTTTTTATTTTTTTTTTAAATAAATACAAATATTTTTTTATAATTCTACAAAAATTTAAAAGCACAAAATTAATAATAAATAAATTTATTACGAACCTCAACCACGATAGTATGAATACAATATGAAGCACCTAATACCTAATACCAATAATGCCTCCACTTCCTTTTTCCCACGTTACCCCAAATGGCCTTGCCCAAAAGCAGGATCCTCTCTCTCCATAAACCAATACACAAAACTGTTTATTAATTGAAACTTGCCCTAGCCTTTTTCTTTGCTGGATTCAGGCCCCACCTTCTGCCTATCCACAACGAAGAGGGCACAACAAAGAAGACCCATGACCAGTTTTAAAAGAATAACACAGGTTTTGTTCATGGTTGCTTGATTTAAAAGAGTTGGGTGGTTTTAATGGTTTGTTTTTTTAGTGGTTTTATTGGATCTAAAGCTAATTGGGTGTTTTTTCTTTGTGTAACAAAATTGGGTTCTGGTTTCTGTGTTAAAACAAAGGATTTCAGGTTTCTTGATTTGGGTTTTTTCAGTGGAAGAAGATGGAAAGCTTACAGTGACATTGCAATAAAATTTACAGTGTTTGGTCTAGATTGCTTGAATCTCAATCCAAGTGGGTGTATTCTCTCTGAAATGCCAGTATCTCTTTCTCTCTGCAAAATACAAGGGAAAAATCGAAGCTTTAGCCGAGGAAGCGAACACAACAACACTGGTTGTCGCCTTAAAGAATTACAAGACGCACCTCCAAGCATCGTCATAAGATGTAATTTGGTGTCCAAAATTTTTAGGATCACCAGAGAATCTATTTTATTTCTGATAATAAAATTTTGAATTCCAAAAATAGTTCAAATCAAGTATATTAAACGCATAAAAATCTAGAAAATTATGTATAGGGGGTGGTTTTTATAAGGCTAAGGTATGTAGATTCAGCCGATCTATGAACATTTGATAAACTTCAAAATTGACGTTTAAGAAAAATGCATTGCAAGATGCATTATTTTCCAAAAATGAAATCTATTTCTTCTCATGTTCATATTGCTTAAGGTCGAGATGAACAAATTTGAGGATTTTTGGACATGGAAACAACTTCTTCTAGCGAATTTTTGATGTGCGCCTTAATTTTAAATTTTAGGGCCTCAGCCTTATATAAAATTGTTCTTTTTATTTATGTTATTACAAAAAAAAACTTACAGCCATTTTCTCTATTTGTTATTTTTTTAAAAAAAAATTGCCTTACCTTCTTAGTATTCCAAAAATACTTTTGACTTTGATGGTCTTAAATATTCAAAGTGGTCTTACAACAAAAGCAAAACTTCATATTTCAAAAATCCAAAGTTGTATGTATATTGTTGTTCAACAAACGAGGATTTGAAAATATGATGTTATTTATATATTGTTGAACTTTTTTTTATATATTGTCTTTACTTTAGAATTTGAAAACTTGTGGCAGTTACTCCATCAAAAAAAATTTAGATTTGAAAAAATTACATATATATCCGTTATATTTTACGTTATTACAGATGTACTGAATAGTTTCCATTATTACATATCTGTCCGTTTTTTACCTTTCATAACCCTTTTTCAAGTGTTAAACAACCGAATTGAAGGGTTTTCTGGATGTTCAACATCCGAAAATAGCCCGAAAGTTTAACGTTCACATTCCCATTTTCGGATGTTGAACATTCGAAAATGAGCCCGATAGTTTGTCACTTCAACTTCTATGTTCTTTGCATTTTGTTTTATGCGTCTCTGTCTTTGCTTTGTGAGTGAGTGCGCATATTTCCTCTCTCAGTGCTAAAGAAACGTAGCTAGTTCACAGATTTCTCGAATTTTTAATAGTACGCATCTTTGACAGCATTTCTCGAACTTTGAAGGCATTTCAGAGAGTGAAGGTATGTAGGTCGTAACATCAACATGATCTCTTACTTTATTTTCCTTTTCTGACTCCTCAATATTTTTATTGATATTTTTTTTTCCCTTTTTGAAGATTATTATCAAGTTATCTCTGTGGATAAGTGCAAGCCTCCAAGTGGCATATTGTTTTGAGAGTTGTTTGTTGATGGAGAGCTCTCTCATTGTTTTCTCTTATAGGAAAGGGTTGTTATATGTTCCCCCACGCCTCACGGATGGTTTGCTTTTTGTTGGATTTTGAGAATGGTAGAGGACGAAATGTAACTGAAAGATGGACTGGAGAAAGGTCTTGGTAGGGAATGTTGTTGATGGTGAAGTTGCGAGAGGGGATCTTCTGGATCCCTCCTCGTCTTTGGTAGTAGTTGATCGCAAGGATTTGGAACAGTTCGATATTAAAACTGAGTTTTTTGTATCGGTTTCCTTTCTCCTCCTGTGAAGGATTTCTTTGATTGGCAGATTGGGTGCAGAGAGGTTGGAATTTGTCTTATCGTCATGATGTGAAGATTATCAGTTCCAATAAGGTGGTGTTTAAATTGCGTTCGAAGGAGGAAGTGTATAAGGTATTGTCTAATAGATTTTACAGAGTTCGAGGTGTTCTGTCTCTAGACTTATGGAAGGCCTCGGATCATGCGTCGTGCAAACGTATGGAATATGTTTGGATTAAACTCTGGGGTATTACTTTATCGACATGGAACTTATCTATTATAAAAAGGATTGCAGGTAGATGTGGGGTGTCTACAGGGATTTAGATTAGGATTCCTTTCTTAGTCCAACCTGCCATTTTGTTTGTGTTAAGATTGGTTTGTGTGCAGGTATGGTTATCCTTGGATTTGTTTATTTGTGTCTACATGAAGTTTTTTTTGAATTACTCATCTCGGATGATGATGGTCAGCGCCCTTCCAAATTGTTTGCGAGATGTACTTCTGTGGGGAGGAATAAGGCAGAGCCGGAGATCATGTCTGTTGACCCAAAGAGTGAGCCTAAGCATATTGGTAAAGGTAAGGATGCCTCCTTCGATAAATTTGGCTGGAATCTTTATCGGAAAAACTACAGTGTTGCTACGAATTTCAAATTAAAAAAAAATGGTTACCCCAAAAATTAAGAAAAGGTGCATTCCTATTGGACGATTCCCAAATTCATCGCAAGGTTTCTCTAACAATATTGGGAATGTTGGGAAGGATAAATGTGAGACAACCGTTTTTGATAACACCCTGGAATTTCATGAGCGTGTTGCGGGCCCTCCCAAACTTCCTTTAAATGGTCCGGCAGGACCATCGATTTTGAATCAGGAAAAAGGTGATGGAAAAAGAGATTTGGAGGAGGTTGAACTTCCTAATATTGATGGTTCCTTTTTTGATAGAAATAGCACGGTACACGTGGCTATCCTTTCCCATTCCATTTACAAAAAATATTGTTTCTCTCTCTTCTCCATTTGGAAAGAGATAGAGCTGAAGAGGAAATTGAGTTTCGATCTTTCTTCTCTGGTATTATTCTTCTGCCTTGCTGTCTTGACGAAGATTTCTTTATGGAATTTTAAACAGAGGTTCTCGGGCTTCCTGCTCTTAGTATTTCTAGAGTATAGAATGCATCCGCTCTTTTTCGAGTTGCTATGGCGAAAGGTGTAGTGAAGAAGTCCAAATCATGTTTCGACCCACTTCGATGGCAATTGTACCTATTGATGGGGATGTGCCGAAATATCAGCCCGCTGCTGGATGGGTAGAGGTTGGGGGCTTTGTGGAAGAAGAAAGCGATGGCAGTTCTCTGTTGGTGGCTGAATTGAATATGCCGGTACCTATTAGTGTTTTTCAAGAGGAGCAGGTTCCTTTGTTGTTGAATGGTCTGTGTGTAGAATAATCTCAAGGAGAAGGATCTGTTTGCGATGATATACCTTTGGTGGGTCAAATGGTGGTGGATATGGGCGTGGATGATGTGCCCCTAAGTGTGGTAATAGAAGATATCAAGGCTCGCTGATGTGCTAGGATGGTGGCTCAGCGTGAGACGATGATGCCGACTGATGGTCTGCGGCCTGAAAGTGTTGCTGCTGACACTGCGAAATCTCTTGCTATAGCTCTTGAGGATGGTCATAAGAAGAAGAAAGCTGCAAATTGGGGCTCGCACTCCTCAGCAAGGCTCCAAGCTAAATATGTCCCTTCAAGAAAGGGAGTGGTTATTCGTGAACCTGTGGTGGTGAATCTTGATACCTTCTTTGAATCTTCACGAAGTGACGAGGATAAGGAAGTGGCTTCGCATATGGAGGATATGCACTTTGACTTCGGCCCTGATGGACCAGGCTCATCCTCTAACCCTTTCCATTCTGATTTTTAATGAATTTTATTTCTTGGAATGTAAGGGGGTTAGGGCACCCCAGTAGGAAAAAATATGTTCGGTTCTTGGTAGCTAAATATAAATATGTGGTGTTATTTT